TACAATCCCGGACAAAACCTGTTGAGACAGTGGCATTTTTCGCGCCTAAATACTCCCAATTGTCATCTTTCTAAAAAGTCACTATTTCTGATCCTCCCCTCCCCCCACAGTTCAATGTTGTGTGTTAGACGTGATGCTAGAAGGGTGTGCATGAATGTTCAGTCCCTTCAACATTGATTTGAGGGGGAAAGGGGGAGATTTTTTAAAGAAAAACTCCGATAGGTCATCGAAATTCAATCTATTTCAAGAAATGTCTCAACAGTTTTGTCTGGGATTGTAGCTACTTGGTGACATTAATAAAGCAATATGATAGAGGAGCTGAATTGTGAAATACAGAAACTTTCTAAGGCAAATGATCTATTGCAAAGTAAGCTCTTTACGATTGATAGATTTCGCGCTAAGGATTCATCGATATCATTTTATACTTCTTTGCCTAACAATGATGYTTTAATGGAAATCTTCAACTATCTAGACCCTATAAATTCCCCGTAACAATGGGTTGTTTCAACAATAACCCCTTTTATCTGAAGCTTGTCAATTTCGTTGTCAATGATTGTCTCCTCCTGGGAAGTAAAATGAATCTTCCGAGGAGTATCTACTTGACTCCACACTATCAAATTGAATTTTGTATCCCATCACACTATTAAGTATGAAAATATCGGAGGTTATGTAATTCCAGTGGAAAGAAAATTGTTTCAGTCTTCCAGCTATATGTGTTGATGGCATGTTTCCTACCTCAACATTATCAACAAATTCAACATCCGAGTCCGTTTGACTCACTTCTGCTTCCCCTCTTTCTTCTTTTTGAAGTTCTGGGGATGGTTCTTGTTGTAGTTGTCTCTGCCTGAGCCTAAAAAAGGCTTCTTATAACGATGGGATCCRTAGCCATGTCGATTTCGGCCATAGCTATGTCTGTTATGATGATAATCAGATCTGGACACTGGGCGTCCGCTGCTTGTTGACACCTTCTTGCCAACACGGTTGACCTCAGTCAACTCTTTGACCTGCTTCGGCAAATCATCGCCAAATAATTGGTCTGTAATTTCCAATGAAGACGAGCACAAATGCTTGTATTCATCGTGCAAGTCTGGTTTAATTAACTCTCTTCGTCTTTGATTTAACTCATTATTTGCATTAGCAAACAGAGCAAGTGCATCAGTTGACTTCTGCAAGAGGTCGTTTCCCTTGGGAAGCGATGTCATATGCGTTAGTAAGCTGTCAATAGTGYATGTCAACGCGCACATTCCTTTAAAGATGGCGGTTTGAACTTTTTGCAGTTTTACATCCTGTGAGCGAATAGATGGGGTCAAATTGTCCCATACMGCTTGATTGACACGGACTTTGGTCAGCGACTCACAGTTCTCCGGTCTATGATATTTATTCATCTTTTCCTGGAGTTTTTCATCCGGTAGACCGTCCTTGCACATGGCATTAACCACGTTTGCAAGGTCTGCGTTTACAGTTGGACCTGTTTCTTCTCTCTTAAGGTCCTGTTTTAAGCTATTAAGCACTTCAAACTTCCCTTCACTAGAGTTAGTATTAGGGTTTGCTGTGTCTGTCAGCTTTGCTACAGCTGYGTCTATGTTTGTCAYGCTCTTGTCCTCAGCATGAGAAGCTTGCTTCTTTGCTGGCGGCTCCTCGAGTTCTTCAAGGTCATTTTCATCTGCTTCGTYCAGGTCATMACGATACTCGATTTCGAGTTCTGATWTAAACGATTTAAAGGACTCAGCAATGGTTTTCGAGAGATTTGAGCAAATCCTTGCTGCAAGGAGGACGCCAATTCAGTTGTTGTCGTTTTGGCGCCATTTTTGTCATGGTGAATTTCAGCCTGAACTTCAATTTGTGCTATGTTAGATGTGGTTTTCTTTCTTTTTCCAGAATCTTTCTTGCCCTCGGTCTCAACATTAGTTGGACGTTCGAACATAATTGCGAATTATCGCTGTAAATTTTAAGTACTTTCACAGTGTGAATAAAACACGTTCACTCGCTCGAAAGGCGGCAACACACTGAGTTCGCGCAGGCGCAATGCAATCTCACATGAGCCCTCAGTGAGGTGACAGGATAGAATTAATGTTTGTCTGCGTGAAATGTATCATAAGTTATCATGTGATACTAGCATTACACAAAATAAAGTGTGATAGAAAATTTGTGTCGAGTTTCATTTTCCCGCCTTTTCATATAAGAAAGCTGCCTCGCGGAAATATTTCCACTTTTTCTGCTACACGGAAAGACGCTTTTTCCGMCTAGCGGAATTCCACCTACGGAATAAATTCTTGCCCTCGACCTTATTGAATCGACGAAAAGTGTCAAGTTTAATATAAAGAACGTAAGTGTTGCTTAAAAACTGAAAAGAAATTGAAAGAAATTGAAATAAACCTATTACAAAATCAAGCTGCCAATGGCAACACAACTCGGCGATTGCGAGAGCTGCTTTTGCAAGATGGTCAGATGTATTTTGAGCATGTTATTAACAAATTAGATAGGTTATTTATTAACAAAAACATGTAATAGATGATGAAAAAAAAGTATTTGGAAAAATGCAATTTAACATTTAATAATTGGTATTAACTAACAAGATAAAGTGCAAAACTTGAGTAGCTAATGCCTTCATGTATTGAAAGAACAAGBGTATTGGTAAAATTTTTCATAACATTGTTTTGAGCTCCGTTGTTGAAGTATGAAATCTGTGAAATCCACATGCTCTTGATTTGCAGTTTTGCAGAATTATTCCAGTGCTTTTCTTCCGATCACTGTTTAGCAACATAAVCTTATTTAATAATAGTTCAGAGAGGAGAGAGACCGGTATTCTTCTACATCAGAGCACTTATTTGCTTACTTTAAGTTATTTGTTCTCAATATGCAAGGCGGTTTTATAGTAAATTTCTCCACTTTGATAGCTGACCTGAAGGTCTAATGTGGATATGCACAACCATTTCCTTGAAATCTTATTTTCTATGTATTAAGGTTCTGTTGAAGTTCGGCCGAAGTACATCAACAACAATTTACTCGAGATCGAAGCCTTTAAGTACGTTTTCAGCTTCAAATACGTTTTCCCTGACTCTTTCTAACTGTTGACACACACTTGAAGCGGAAAAAGTTTAAAACTTTCTTTCAATTTGCACAATTTACGCCAAATAATAGAATTTTAAATACATTTTCCTTCTTAGAAGCAAATAGTTTTATCGATTATGACACAGGAATCCCGTTGTTTGATCTGGTGTCGTATAAAATGTTGTAAAACAGTCATGACGTTATAACTAACGGGCACATGGTCTAGTGGTAATGTCTCTGCCGTTGGCTATTTCCTTGATACTTAGTCCATCTTGAGTTAAATAAATCACCCTCTATCTAAGGGACGATTGATAAGAAGCAACCATAATAGTGTAAACAAACGACAAGTTTTGGCGCCTCGAGGAAATGACGTCAACATAAAAAGGTTATAAAAAGGTTCCATTAGGTACTTAAAATCACTTAGTTATAGGAAAATGCAAGTATAATAAGAGAAAATGTCAATTTATTACAGTCTTACTACGTAGCGTGATAATCCCTGAAGCAGCGTTCTTTGCAGAGCGAAACAGAGCACTGTTTGCACTTTCTCTTCGTCTCGACAGGGTATCCTTTCGGTGTTTTCCTTCCAGCTGTCTTACACTGGACACACTGCTTTTTTCGCCCATCGATTGGAGTTATTGTGTGGCTTTCAAGACGTTCAGGGACAGCAGCATCAGCTTGACTGTGTGCTCGCTTTCGACTACAGTAGCCATTGATGAGCCGCTTGGCAACCTGCGGCCGCTTGTTTCTTCTCAGAYGTTCGCACTCCAACATGTAAGCATTGCATGCAGAAACATTAAAGAAGAACCAAAAGATATATTTGTACCACTTGCGAGGCTGCCTTCCACATAATGAGCCAGAACCCTTAGTTACGGCTCAAGAATGCAGAACGTTGTTCTGCATTCCTGGGATGTTTCCGCTTAATCCTATTTGTAAGCTCCACTATATCTGTCAACACGAGGTTTATTTGTAGAGATTAGGGAGGGGTGATACCTGTGTTTTATATATCTAATAACTTCTTTACAGGGCTAGGGTTAGATAAAATTCTGAATATCATTTCCCGCCAATTTGCCGCATAGAAGTCAAAATGGCACAGAGGAGACTACAATGTATAAAGGAATGTGATAATATTTAGCAAATCTTTATTCTGTAAAACTTGATTGGCAAATATAAAATGCTAAATACAAAATATATCAAGATAAAAGTTATTTAAGATATGTTTCATATAATAAATACACTGATGCCTTCATCGATGTACACTCAGATAAAGTGTACTCTCACTGTTATGTTGAGTTGCAACAGCTGCATAACCAAACCTTATAGAATTAGACTGTCATGGCAAGTAAAATCCTTGATTGGAAAGGCAACTGTATATAATTCCGCGAATAAATCCGGCTTATGGCCGATTATTTGTCCATTAGAATGATATCGACTGTTAGAAAACGCTTGCTCTTAAGCTATTACAAATGACTTTGGCACAAAGGACAAATAATTAATAAAATTTATAAATGAACGCAATTACAGCTGTTTGCAATAATTCTGACCCCCTCTGCCCATATTTCATATATATCAAAGTGACCTTAAATATTATGGGATATCATGACTGATATATTTTTTGAGTTGCCCAGAATGAGTACTTTCTCAAAAAAATATCAGCAATGGTATCCCATAATTTCTAAGGCTACTCTGATATATTTGAATATTAGTGTGGGGGGGTCAGAATTATTGCAAATAGCTGTATATTACTTTAAATGAATATAGTACTATATAGTCCAAACAACAAACAAACAACTTCAATGTATAAAAATTATATATACAAGCAAATTTGAGGAAATGTGTAGTTCTTTAACGAGGCCGAAGGCGTCTTTGAAAATGCAACCAAGGGAGAATATGTCACTTGATGTCGATTTTTTGGCCTCTGATGCTATATGCTTTGGTTTTGTAGATCGTGATGAGACGTGACCATCGGCAATAAATGAGGCCTTACCAAAGTCAATCACTATAGCCGTCAAACTTTTATCAGCATTCCGATGGAGCACTACATTGTTTGATTTTAAATCATTATGTAGTACTCCAACCCTGTGCAAGTATGCGATGGCTTTGGTAACTTGCATCAAAAGGTCCATCCATGTGCTTCTGATTTCGGTCTTCACGAGTTCGTTTGACAACATAGTGCCCAACAGATTAATCAATGAACCATCGACACTGTAAAGTGGCATTATTATCTTGTAATCGTCATCAGATTTTGACTCAAAATCAACTCCAACAAGTAGTGATAGACTTGGGTGCCTGAGGTTGTGGAGGAAATGAGCCTCGGTCTGAGCCATGTTGAGCGTTGTTTGCTTTCTATCCAGCTTTTTTACTACTACGCTTTGCTTTCCAAATGTAGCAGCATACACCATTCCGCATGACCCCTTTCCTATCTCACGACCAATTGTAAGGTGCCAGGGTCGTACGGATGGTAGTTGCATTGAGTTTTTGCGAAATTCTCTTTCCTTCTCCAGCTGTGCATTCAACTTTGCAATGTTCGCCTGTTGTCTTTCTAACTCCTCATTCTTCTCTTCTATAGCTTTCTGAAGTTCTGCCAGCTCATCGACATGGCCATTTTGCCTCTCCTGCCTTTTCATGCGCCTTTCGTTGCGCCTTCTTTTTCGCCTCTCGTGGACACGCCTGCGAGCTCCAACCTTCGCTTTCGACTCTTCATCAATACCCAGCTTTTCCATGAAAAAATATACAGTTGGCTTTACTTTTATAGATATATAAGTTAAACAAGCTATAGTAATAAAGTGTTGAAGTAACATGAGCCTTCGTAAAAATTATTGCACTTCCTTTTTCCTGTTCTTGTGATTGGCTCTCTAACAAAAGCTTTTCACTCACGTAAGCAAGCTATCTCAGCGTGCTATGGTTTCCGATGCCACTATTGAGCTTTAAAGGGTTTAAAAAGCTAGATTGATTTACAATGTCTCTTCTAACTCACTGCCTGGAGTGCTACAAATCCTTCAAATCCAGGACAACGCTTTCAAAGCACTACACATTGAAGCATAACCAACCCCAACATGAGCTGTTGGTTCTTGATTTTATCAAGAACGATGGGAAACCTGCAACGACACCAACAAGTAAAGATATCGATGTTCAAGAGATTCCCGCCTACCATCAATGGTTAGCAGGCCTCGTAGAATCTATTAATGAATCCCTTCACCCTCAGTTTCCAGGTATAGTATAAATTACTCAAACTATGATTGGTACCGGCTATAGGCTAATGATATGTGTCAGTATTGCCCCCTGTTGCCTATTCTAAATATATCGTTCAACTCAACCATTTTTTTTTCTCACTMGTAGCACTCATTTTCTATTAGAAAAAAAAATTTATTTTATAGCTGAATATTGATATCTTGGTCTGTTTTAATTTACTAGGAAAGTGGGTTACGCTAAACATGTGGCAAGTGAAAGAAGAGTACCTTTGTAAATTGATAGCTGAMATAAACGCTCTGCCGGATAGCATTAGAGATACAAGACACAAGAAATGACCTTTTTACWGAAAATCAACACAAAGAATCTCCTTCAAAGTTTTCAACATGTCTATGGTCCAAGAAGCGTTATGTCAGCAAAATATTGCAGTGCTGAAGCCTGATGTATTCTTTTCATCAGGAAATGAGATAATAAACCGACCACAAAAAGGAAATGTAGCTGAAATGCTCGCCAGACTAACAGAGGACAGAGTACGTGATGTAGACGGTGTACTTGAAGGAATAAAGGAGGCAGGACTAACAGAGGCTGGACTAAAGGAGGATGGTGTTCGTGGTGTGGACGGTGTACTCAGTGTACTCGGTGTACTCAGTGTACTCGGTGTACTTGAAGGACTGACTGAGGCCTGACTAACAGAGGACGGAGTACTTGATGTAGATGGTGTACTTGAAGGAATAAAGGAGGCAGGACTAACAGAGGCTGGACTAAAGGAGGATGGTGTTCGTGATGTGGACGGTGTACTCGGTGTACTTGAAGGACTAATGGAGGCTGTTTGTCCTTTCCTCTTTCTCTTTCGTCTTCTTTTCAAAATGTAAGGTTGTACATTTATCTTCTTCAACGAATCAGCCAAATTTGTTTCCCACTCTTCGTGGTTATACACTGTTAATGGCATTTCTTCTTCATGTACAACCCCCACCAAGTTGTAAGTGAAAATGTATCTGAGAAAATCGCCTCCAAATATTTCATTGAACATGCCGTCCATAACACATATCCAAGTCTTATCTTCCGATGTCCAATTAAATTTCTTGCTAGCTTTCCATCCACACCCTCGAAAATAGAATTTTCCACCTTCGTACAATAAAGTAATAATTTTATCAATTCTAATTGATACGAATATTGTATCAAATAGCAAGATCTTCTGGATCTTACAAACATTAGCAAAACAAAACTATAAAGGTTAACTATTGAGATTGTTGATTTATAAAGACAAACTTATAAATTAACTCATATTTAAATACAGGTGGTTCGTGAACTAAAAATAAACAGTAGAATAAATAACAGTAATATCTCTTTACAGTTATCATCAAAAGCCATCGTGCTTTTAGATATGCAGACCACTCTTTGAAATAGCTAAGGTACAGTGTAGGTCATTGGTTATGTAATGCCATCTAAGTTTATTTACATCACCATCGCGAGACGTAGACTTATAGTACTATGAGTTGTATAACTTTGAGGGAATGTTTAGCTTTTCTGAAAAGGTAACGTAAGCCCAACAACTTTTCTGCATAAACATGGGTTAATATTTGTTCACCTGTATAATGAAAAGGAAATGTTGTTTAGTAATAAATGCATAACACTTGTCGCAATTTAAAAGTGTATTGTTTTAATTTTCATCTTGTACACAATACGTGGCTGAAAAATRCTTTTAAAAAGCATAAAACTAATTTAAATAAAACAGCACCCATTGAACAATAGAAAAAGATTTATATTGAATACCTGAAGTACTATTTAGATTACAGAACTATTTCACACTTTAGTGTCTTTTAAAACATACAGCCAATCTTGAAAAGGCTATCCACCTGAACAGCTTAATTTGACCTTATTGTCTACATGTATTTCGGTAGTGGAGAACCTTTTCAAGTTGCACCTGTATATATTACTGTTTTTACTCGAGGCTGCCTCTTCTTCGCGATCGTGGTTTGTAGCCCTGGAGAATAGGGAACCTTGAAGTTTATGACATGCCTCGAAACCTTGGTTCGAATACTCTTTCATAGAACGGTATCGTCTCATAAGCATTGGCACGTGTTCCACTGAGAAATGCCCGTAGTCACCAGTACCGAGGGAATTTCCAAAGGCTTCCTGTAGTGTGAAGTCCCAGTCCTTGCACTGAAACCACAATGCAGAATAGTAGAGCATAAATACAGCATAAAATAGATTTCCTATTCTTGCTAGATTCTATGAATTTTCACTGATGAAGTAGTGTTATAATTAGATACGGACCCCAGACTAAATACTTTACAGCTGTATCAGAGTGGCAGAAGAATATGAAATGATTTCATATACCTGTAAATCAAACTGGTCAATTAAGTTATCCTCGGTGTCAGAATAAACTGTGTGTCTCATAACTTGCGCTATGTCACTCCACTTCTGGAAAACCTAAAAAGAGAAATGGGACCAAGATTTTAGCTGCAGTAATTATTTTTCCTGATTCCTTCCAATCAGTTCACAGCAATAACAGTTTTGAGTGATATTCAACAGCTGAGTTGCAGTCAGAGTTCATCATTTATCACAGTTGCCTAAGCTTTTTGATTTATTGTCCGAATGCCACGGCTTAATTTATTGACTTACATCATGGTATAGTTCAAGTTGACATTTTCCAACAAATTCAGAAATTTCCCCATCTGAGACAGTGGTGTTATCTTTAAAGCAGTCTATAATAAACTTGTCGAGATCACTTTGTTTTTGCTTCCAGTAGTCTAGACTTTCGATGATCATATCTTTGGCCCCTAAAAATCGTAAAAATGGAAAACAATATTATTTTTCTCAGGCATTTTTTTAAGTCGAAAACAGTAAGGAAATGGACCGCATTAGTTTTTCCTGAAACTCAGCTTTAAAATATGAAACGAAATGAAATTACTAATGTATTAAATCTATCAATSGACACATTCTCTCCCAAAAATTATTTCCCGCATGTTTATTAAAGAATAATTTCTTAATTATTATCATCATGGTCATTATTTGGGCTTCCTTTGTTCACTACCGGGATGACGGTATTCAAAATGGCCTCCGTCTCCGTCACATAAAAGCTTCATTGACAGGTATGCTTACAAAACTCTAAAATATTTTGTTTATTACCGGTGATAGCAAATCACTTTTTGGACCTAAGGTGATGAATCAGAAAAGTCGTTCATGATGGAAGCGCTCGCAAATGGGCCATTCCATTTAATATCCGTCCCCCCATTAGAACGATTTCACATAGCGATACAAAAAATGCAAATAGGTTTATCTTATGCAAATTTTATTGACTGTAAARTAAACTCATAATGATGCAATACACGCTACATTTTCTTACTTATTACATCATTGTTTCCTATCTTATAATTAGATTTTAATGTTATTCATCACRAGCAAAACAAAACAGTTTTTATTGAGTCCAAATATAATTACGGAATTGACTTTTTGTTGGCCAGCCTTTGCTCGGCT